TTTCCCACATAAAAAGGTTTTCAATATATATAAAGTTATTGATATTTTAAAACAAACTGTAAATTTATTTAGGCAGTAGAAGATACTCTGTTTCATCTGCCTACACATCGAGATCAAGTTATGAATCACAAGGCCGAAGAAGTTCAGGTCACTGTTTATGATGAAATGATTGTCCACCAAGACAAAAATGGACAGGTCCTTAAACAGAAGGCTCGTGTCCGAGTTTTCTTTCTTTCTTTCATTTCTGGTAAGGCATATTTAACAGATGTAACCAAACGGGTTGAAGAGTTGCTAGAAATTATTAAAAGTAATTGAAATACAGTAGATTAAATTTCAGACCACTAAGCTTGTTGTCATAAAACAAAATAAGGTAGGCAACTTCATATTACTACACTGTAAGTATGGATTTCTTTGATTGCATTTTCTTTTAACTTTACTAGACCAAATAGATCAATTCAAAATTTGACACTACAGAAGTATATTTCTACAATGCATTAAAATATTATTGCTAGTTAATACTTATTTCTTATTTTTATGCTACATAAAATCTTTTTCTTTTTCTAGTTCCTCTTGTGATGTAAAACAGTGAACATTTTAATGCTTCAAATAGTTTTCAGTTACTGCAATATAACTTATCAAACTGACTTCAGAGTTGTTGCTTGAATAAAGGACATCAATTTGATTTTTGTGTACTATTTTATTAACTCTAAATGTGAGCAATATTCAAATTCTTTTTTTCAAACAGTTAAAGTAAAATACAATGAGCACTTTTATAACTGTAATTTGCCTATTACTTGTACACAGCAAATTTTTATTTAAAATATAATACACAATATATAACACTTCATTATAATAATTTAAGTTAGAAAAAGAACAAATTGGGAGCTCGAAGTAAATTTGATTCAAAAATATATATTATGCGATACTGTACATTTGTTTCCTATATGTGGTTTTTAAATATCACTTATCTTCTACAGGAATGCCCATTGTGGAGGTAGGACTGAATGACATTAAACGTCAGGGAATGGAAGTAGTTGGCCGTCATGACATTATTCCAGTTACTACAGAAGAATGGATTCGACTAGAAAACTGTGAATTTCATTCCTGTGTTTTTTCAGAAGATTTTGCAAATAGTCGAACAATTAGGTTAGTTTGAGGATTTTTTTACTTTAAGAATTAAGAATTAATTTATTAATTAATTTAATTAATTCAGCAGTATAGCTTGATTATTTCTTTTAAAAAATACATAATGTTATTGATAAAACAAACTTTACTTTTGATTATGCTGGAGTCATAATATTTGTAGACAGATATTTTATATGGTGAGTAATAACTGAAAGAGTAAAGTCATTTTGTTTTTTACCTATAAGAAGGTTCACATGTCAAAATTAATTTTTGAGATTAGTTGTTTAGTCAGGTAAGTTCTCACAGAACATTCTTACCCTAATCAATCCATTATTTGCCCAGACCTGTTTTGGGTCAAAATGAAATAATAGCAAAGCTTGCTGATAAATGATTTAATTATAGACACATTTATTTAAAAGTAAAATCAGTTACAATAAGGTCACGTTTCTGTCAGCAAAACTGTATCTAAATCAACATAAACTTAAAAACAGAAATAGAATTGTATATGAATAGAAATTATTGTAAAAGCAAGAAAATCATGAGACTATGTGGTATACTGGTGATAAAACAAATGTCTTTATGAGTGTAAAATAAACCAAGTTCTTAAGGACAAGTAAACAAAAATTACCTGATTAAAACACCTATAAACTTGTGACAAAATTAAATTATTTGAAAAATATTCTCTGCTGAAAAACATAGCATGATATGATTAAAGAATGAAATTATAAAATTATTATAATATATTAATATACATCCCTGAATAGAACAATTGGTAATTAGTATCCATGATTAAGCTCCTTTTTTAATGCCACACTGTTGTACATGAAAATGTGACATGTACACAATGTAGTACAAAACTTGTCACCATCTGAAAATGTGGTCAAGTAAGATTCTGAAAATAAACATTCCTTTGTGACCTTGATTATAAATTAGAAATGTACTAAACATAACTGTCGAGTGAGATTACTGTTAGGTACATGGTAACATAACACTTAGTTCTGGGGTATGGAGTTTATGATTTTATAGGAACAACATTATCAAGGCAGTCAAGCATGTGAGTAATTTAGATGCTTGGTGCACTTTCACTGTAAAAAAGGTCAATAAACTTCACAGCACATGATATAAAGTTAGACATTATTTTGTATGTTCAAGTGTGAAGTGAGCCAACAGTTTGTTACTTTGAATCAGTGAAAGGCTGATTCAACATCACTATACTTATTACATGTTTATTTGTCATTAAACATTATCAAGGTTATATTGCTGTCACAGCTTATTTGTACATAATCAATCACAGTGTTCTTGCAATAATATTTTGTACAATATAAAGCACAGAGTAGAAGAAAATGTATATAGATGTTATGTTTTTGATTTGTTTATTACCCATAAGTACATAAATAAAAGGACTGATCCATGAAAATTTTAATGCTTTGATAATTTATTGATCTTGTTATTGTTTAATGAAAAGCAATTTGTACAGTTACTTCTGTAATTACTGTGGTAAGAGGGTTATGGGTTTCCACCAAACATGCCCACTTTTTCAGCCATGGGGGAATTGTATTTTTCCTTTGATTAAGAGTTATAGCAAAGCTACTATGGCTATTTGCCAACATCATTAATTTTGAACTACTGCCCCACCACCAACTCTTGGGGTACTCTTTATCAATGAATTATAATGCTTCCAGGCCAGCATGTATCATTTTATTTACAATTTCTACAACATTTCCTGTTATTATACTCATGAGTAATACCTGAAGCTTTTTTTTATCACTCACTTGCCCTAATCTCAGATTTAATTGCCTTAGTGCAGTTAGACAGCTGTTAATGTTGAGCCCTGTATTACTTGACATTATTTGTTACCGTCATATAATTCTTTTTGTTTGCAGGAAACTTCTCTTCTTTGCTGTATATTGTTAATGTATACAATAGCTGTGTTTCTGCTTTTATTAATAGACCTTATATTGTTAAATGATGTGGATTAAAACTGTAGCGTTGATGTAACTTATGGGTAAAAATGCATTTTTTTCCTCTCTATCTAATAGCATACCTTTTTTAACAATCTTTGCAAGTATTGACCATGGACATTTGCAGAAAAAATATATTATTTTCTCATTTTAATGCCACTTGTATGGTAAAACTATGTAGATTAAAAAAAAAAGATACTAAAGTTATAAAGGATACATCAAATAGTGTATCCAAGCTTAAAATAGATAGTTCTCTTGTAAAACTTGCAGTTGTCTTGCCTGAAAAATGGCAAATAGTGATAGTACTCTAATGACCAATATAGATAAAATATAGACTATATGTTGGTGTAAAATGGTTTTCCACTTCTCCCTTATATTTTTGAATTGCATGTGAAAATAAAATAAATGATTGCTTAAATAACTTGTTTTTTAAAACTTGATGGAAAACGTCATTATTAGTGGTAACTTGGAACACTGAAAAGTAATTCCATGACATTTTTCTATTAATCCTACTTAGATTTCAACCACCAGATGCATGTAACTTTGAACTCGTCAGGTTCCGGGTCCGACCTCCAAGAAATAGAGAACTTCCTCTTCAGGTAGAAATTTGTTGGCTCAGGTTAATTTGTGTATTTTATCTTTTTAATCATAATCTAAATCAACTTTTACTGTTCCATTTTCTCATATTCTGTAGTATTTCATATACACGGATTGAAATATTACATTCCTGCATTGCTAAGGAATTTAACTTTGCTTGAGGAATTTCATACATTTAGTTGGCTTTCTCAATCGGGAATGCATGGTCCATCCCTATTCCTTTAGTTATGACCAATGAAAGTGAACATATTGCATGGATTAAATAAAAAAAACAATTCATGAGGAAATGCAACTTTATATTAAAGAATCTAATCTTCCTGATAGCATTTCCTTGAGTGAATGTAATTTTATTTCATTATTTTTATTCCTGGTATATTTAATATAGTCATTAATGCTCGGTAGTGGACACATTTATGAAGTAATTAGCATGATAATGTTCACTTTGGAGTATTGGTATTTCCATGGAAAGCTTATTAAAAGAAGTTTTAAAACTGTAAAGAATGAATAAGCCAATTTTTTTTGTAGTGACATTTGAGCAAATAGAAAAAATAGTAGGTTTTTATTTTATGTTCTAGCTTATCAGTATCGATAATTTGAGTTCCTAATTTGTAAGAAACTGTAGATTTTGTTCTTGGACATCATAAATATCCAACCTGAACCAATGCTGCATTCAACATACCATATGACACACACAAATC